TTATTTATTTATCTTGAGAGAGGGAGAGAGTGTGTGTGCATGTGTGCCCCCCCCCCCCCACCATGAACAGGGGGAGAGAGGGAGAGATAATCCCAAGCAGCCTCCACACTGTCAGCAATGAGCTTGTTGCAGGGCTCAAACTCATGAATCATGAGATCATGACCTGAGCTGAGATCAAGGGTCAGATACTTAACCCACTGAGCCACCCGGGTGCCCCAAAGGTGAAGGTTTTAAATGGTCCTTGCGGAGAATTGGAAAAATGTGTCGATTACAGAAATAGAGTAGGATCCCTGGGTGATGTTGATGAGCCTTTCGAAGGTGGTTACATGGATTTATAGTGGACTAAATTCTCCCTGTGTTGTGACTCTTGATAGAAACTTTCAGGAAACTGGTTGGGGGAAGGCTTAGAATAGGATTCATTCAGCCCTGGGCAATTGCTGAGCACATGCCAAGCAGGCAAGGGTGCTGGGAAGGCAAACGTTTACAAAATGTTATGGAGGAAAACTTGCCCCACACGTCAGTTAAGTATTCTACATGTGCATCTCTGTCAGTATTTACCAGCATTAAAAATATATAAAATGAACCCAACAGTTGCATTTATTTGATTTTGATTTGGTGATTCTATTTGTTTATGCCCCTGCTTTGTTTTGCAGGAGGCTACTGCTCCATGTAAATATAAGTTCCATGCTGCCAAGGACTGTGTCTGTCTCACTCACCAGGGTACTCCTGACATTTAGCAAAGTACTATCTGTTATTAAGTGGGCCTGGAAAAAAATCCTTATTGAATGATTGAAATGGCAGAGGTACAATTCTGATTCACGTCACTTTGGTCTTTTGGCACACCACGCAGGAGAGGGATGGATGAAGGACAGTGATACTCTTCTGTCAGCTTTAAGGGAGGAGATGAAAGGCCCCCCCTTCTGAGCACAGAAGATGCTCAGTAAATGCTGTTGATTCTTGTTGGTGTTGTTCAGCCAGCAATTTCTCTAAAGACGCTGACCCTCCAGTGTCAGTTCCTGAAATACCCTAACTCCCCTTTCCTCCTGACAATTTATAGTTTCTCTGTTGAGACACTAGAAGGATACTGGGCACTTGTAAGAGGCACAATAGAAGCCACTTCCTTGTGAGACCGAAACTGTAGTCGGGGGACTAATTAAATGATGGTGTCAACGTTGTTCTGACCTGTGAACGAGGCACAAACTCCAGTGAGTGATCCCCATGAGGGAGAATTAGTCTCTCCTAGAGAGGCAGAAAGCACATGGCACTGACTGTCCCTGTGCTGTCACTCCCAATTCCCTTATAAAAACCCTGTCCAGTGGAAGGAAAAAGCTTTTCTCGGAGGCTGTGCTGGTGAATATCCTTAGCAGAAAGCAGAGCTAATGAACCGGTTACTCTGTCTAAAGAAGGCAGACAATGGAAAGTGGTGGTTGCATTGGAAAGGGCATAGGCTGGGGTGAGGTGTGACCTGGGTTCCAGCCACACCTCTGTCACGGGTCACCCATGTGACCTTGGCTCAGTGCATCTATATCTAAGATCTCTCTGAGTCTGAAATTCACCATCTTTAAAATAGAGAATTGGAAACGATGATTTTGAATCCCATCAGGTTCTTAAGCAGACAAAAGGGAAATGGATGACAAAACAATTCCAGCTTCTTGTAAATGAATGACCATCATTTGTGTTTTCACTTCGTACTATTGTAAGAAACCTTCAGGGGCGCCTGGGTGGCTCAGTTGGTTGAGTGTCTGACTTTGGCTCAGGTCATGATGTCACAGCTTGTGAGTTCAAGCCCCGCATCTGGCTCTATGCTGTCAGCTCAGAGCCGGCTTCAGATCCTCAGCCTTTCCCCCTGCCCCACCCCCCGCATCTCAAAAATAAATAAACATTAAAAAAAAAAAAAAAAACCTTCAGCTCAGATGAGTTTCGGTAATTGATAGCACCTGCTTCGTCTGTGCTTTGCCTCAATGTATAAAACCTTCTAATCTCATCCAGCAGTTTAATCACATGAAACAGTGAAATTTGGGATGATACATTGGAGCTGATCTGGATGATCCTTTAAGAACTCTTCCAGATCCACCTTTCTGTGATGTTAGGAGGTAAAAACAAAGCACAACACAACACCTGGAGACCTGTTGTTGTCCTCAGATCCAGTCAATGTAAGTTTTCTGTAATCTGTTTTTGAAAACTAAAGAAAAATGCAACTCAAAACTGTGGTGGGATAATTTTACTAAAATTCTCATTACTTTCCACACAATAATTTTGTTTCTCATGGATAACTCAAACAGGAGACTTTTTTTTTTTCCTGGCTAGCTTTTAACAAATAATTTATTTTGTATTCCCACAAATTGCAGAGAAGAATCAGCTTAACATTTTTATTTTTGGGCTGAATTCTGTGCTATTCATACCAATTTGCATTTTCTCTATTGTGTTCTGTATGGGGATCAGTATTAGCTCATTTTTTAAATATTTATAATATTATAGTTTTGAATATAATTAGCTATATTCAATATAACTAATTTAGTTTTGAACGTATCCACTTAGGTCCTTGGGTATTTAAGCCACATAATGAGTTTGTTGTCCATGGTGTTAATGATGGTGATTTTAGAGATGCCATTTTTGAATGTATATTGCATCCAGGCTCTGTACAAACACCCGGCATGCCCTGTTATCATTTACTGCTCTCTGCAACCTCAAGGTATAGCAGTTCTTTTGTTTTCACTTTATTTTTATCTATTTATTAAATTTTTAAAATGTTTATTTATTTATTTTTTTAACGTTTTATTTATTTTTGAGACAGGGAGAGACAGAGCATGAACAGGGGAGGGTCAGAGAGAGGGAGACACAGAATCTGAAACAGGCTCCAGGCTCCGAGCTGTCAGCACAGAGCCCGACGCGGGGCTCGAACTCACAGACCGCGAGATCATGACCTGAGCCGAAGTCCGCCGCTCAACCGACTGAGTCATCCAGGCGCCCCTAAAATGTTTATTTTTAAGAGAGAGCGAGAGAGAGAGCGAGCGAGCGCCTGAGTGGAGGAGGGGCAGAGAGAGAGGGAGAGAGTGAATCCAAAGCAAACTCCAGGCTCTGAGCTGTCAGCACAGAGCCTGACGCGGGCTTCGAACCCGCAAACTGTGAGATCATCACCTGAGCCAAAGTTGGACAATTAACTGACTGAGCTACCCAGGCGCTCCCATTTTCATTTTATAAATAAGAAGATTGAGGCTTTGAGAAGTTGTTCACAGAGGAAGGCAGAGGAAGGATTCACATCCAGATAAGCCTCCGTGACAGTATAGTGCGGTGAAGCCCACAGCATCTATATAGTAAGACTGCCTGGGTGCAAGCCCCAGCTCGGCCACTTCCTAGCTGAGCATGCTTCTGTGGGTTGCTCATATGTGTTTCACTTTCTTCCTCTGCAAAAGTGGGATGAAAACAGCAGTCTACTTCAAGGGGATAATGTGAGGATTAAACGAGCTGATATACGTAAAGCACTTAGGAACGTGCTTGGCAAAAACTGCATGCGACCCAGGGATTTGCTCTTATCACCCCTGTCTGTGTTCTTGGCCATCACGTTTTACTCTGAAAAGGTCCCCATTTGACTCGTCACTTACAGAAGCAACTTTGCCTTCTTGAACTAAAACTGGGAGAGAGAAAAGGAGGGGGCAGCTTCCAGATCAACCCAGGAATCTACTCCCCAGTATTTCTTATATCTCGTATATCTGGGTGTCTCTTCCTCTGACACTTAAACGTTCTCCCTTAATTCTTATCATACTGAACATCAGGTTTCCAGCAAGTTGGAAGATTTAGCTACTTTAAGGAGGCCTATGTTTCCAGGAGAGTAATAGATTGCTGGTGGGTAGGCTTAGTGTCAGTTTTTTGTTTAAAATTTTTTATAAATGTTTATTTTTGAGAGAGAGAGAGAGAGAGAGAGAGAGAATAAGTGGGGGGTGAGGGGCAGAGAGAGAGGGAGACACAGAATCCGAAGCAGGCTCCAGGATCTGAGCTGTCAGCACAGAGCCCTATGTGGGGCTCAAACCCACGAACCACGAGATCATGACCTAAGGCAAAGTTGGACGCTTAACTGACTGAGCCACCCAGGTGCCCCAGGTTTTTGTTTAAAACAAGGGTAGGCATAGGCATTTTCTTACTATCACTAAGAGAAGAAAGGGTGAGTAGGAATATTCTACCTTGTAGCTGGTTAAGAGGGAGCATCTGTTCTTCCTGCCCCTGGAGCTTCCTTTAATGAATAGGCAGATACTCATTACTTAATAGAATCTTCCACAGATGCTCAACAAACTTTTACTTTAAAGGAAGTCCTTCCTACAGATGCGGAAGGACTAGTAGCTTTTAACGAGAAGGATTTCACTGAGCCCAGGGAAAGCAAAACCAGAAGCATATAAAACGTGTAAAGCAAGGGGGCAAGAGTAATTTAAGTTTGGCCTCCTGGACATGATGCTGCCCACAGCACAGGTTCTGAGTGGGAGGGGTGAGCAGGGAAAGAACCAGGTAGTTGGGGAGGTCTTCAGCTGCAGCCAATCAGCTTGTCTCAGATTTGCTTCTGTTTTACATCGGTTTGTGTTGCCATCAGAAACACTGACAGAAAGTGTAGCAAGCTTCATTGAAAAGTTCAAGAAGAAAGACTGAATTCAAAGGATGTGGACTAAACATGCAGAGTTTTCAGGAGATCCTAAATGTTCATGGTTTTCTCAGGTGCCATTGCATCTATGTGGAACCATCCTGAAAATTGTCAGAGGCATACTCTAGTGGAAAATCAAGGTCTGCCAAATGTTCAGTTTTAGCAGTAATGAAACTAATATTTAGTTGTTTTCACGTAAGAACTTAGAAATCTACTGCCCAGTGATGCAAAAGTCAACAATAGACATATGCTCATATTTTGTGGTTAACAAAGTGAATTGATACAAAAATATTGGAATGGAAAGAGTTAAGAGGGACAAAGGGAAGCGAGTGTGTCTGAAGAAAATCTGGCAGCACCTTCCCCCACCCTGTAATTAGTTCTCTTATGGTTGTGTTTTTCTCTTGACTTTATAGGCAATACCGTACCTGCATTCTCATTGTCCTTGGGCTATATGGAAATGCCACACAATATCACAGAGTTTTTCATGCTGGGACTCTCACAGAAGCCAGAGATACAGAGAGTCCTCTTTGTGGTTTTTTTGATCATCTATGTGGTCACCATGTGTGACAACATGCTCATTGTGGTCACCATTACCTCCAGTCCCACCCTGGCTTCCCCCATGTATTTTTTCTTGGCCAATCTGTCCTTTATTGATACCTGTTATTCTTCCTCTATGGCCCCTAAACTCATTGCGGACTCCTTGTGTGAGGGGAGAGCCATCTCTTTTGAGGGTTGCATGGCTCAGCTCTTTGGGGCCCATTTCTTGGGAGGTGTTGAGATTATTCTGCTCACGGTCATGGCCTATGACCGCTACGTGGCCATCTGCGAGCCTCTGCACTACACGACCACCATGACCAAGCATCTCTGTGCCCTGCTGGTGGGGGTGGCTTGGCTGGGGGGCTTCCTGCATTCACTGGTTCAGCTCCTCTTGGTCCTTCAGCTGCCCTTCTGTGGGCCTAACGTGATCAATCACTTTGTCTGCGACCTGTACCCCTTGCTGGAGCTCGCCTGCACCGACACATATGTCATTGGCGTCCTGGTGGTGGCCAACAGTGGTGTGATCTGCCTGTTGAACTTCCTCATGCTGGCTGCCTCCTACATTGTCATCCTGCATTCCTTGAGGTGCCACGGTGCCGAGGGGAGGCGCAAAGCCCTCTCCACCTGTGGGGCCCACTTCACTGTTGTTGCCCTGTTCTTTGTGCCTTATATATTTACTTATATGTGGCCATCGTCTACTTGGTCCATGGACAAAAACATGGCAGTATTTTATGGTATTCTGACGCCTATGCTGAATCCACTCATTTACACCCTGAGAAATGAAGATGTAAAAAATGCCATGAGAAAGCTCTTCATTCAGTAAGAAACTACATGTATGTAATGAGTGGTAAAGCAGGAAGTAGAAATGACTTTATTTCTGTAAGTGTAACAAACCAAAACTCGTTCTGACTACTGAATATCACCTTATTCCGTTATGTCTATCTGTTCATCTTCATAGGCTTTTAGGGTTTAGTCTTTTTACCTGAATTGCATAGTTTGGTTATAAAACAACGGTATAAGACGTATGTGGCATGAATCATTATTATCCCTGTTTTAGAAATGAAGAAACTTTGTCTCTTGATGCGATTGGTTAATCAAGGTTATCTGGCTGTGAAGTACCTAAGCCAATACCCCAAATCGGTTGTTTTTGGTCCATCATTCAGCTCTTTCACTAGCGATCCATGGTATATCATTCCACTCTGTGTGATAATGGAGCTGTAGAAATGTGAGGCAAAATACAACGTAAGGCAAATAACTTCTTGCTTAGCTGTGGCTAGCAGTCTGTATGCATCCAGGCAGGCTTCTCTTCCTTCTTATCACCCTGTATGACATCCCTGGCATAGCTGCTGTTCTAGAAGACCTTCGCTCTGGAGACAGATCAACCTGAGTTTCTGTCCTATTTCCCGTTCTTACTTGTGGCACGACCTTGAGAAAGTGACTAAATATCTAGCAGCCTCTGATGCCTGTCTTTAAAATAAAGATATAGATAATACATATCTAAAGTGTTACTGTGAGAATTAAATTAGAAAATCGATGTCAAATTCAGAATCCAGTTTCTGGCACATATTCCCACAACGTTTTATTTTATATGTTCCTCAACCTTTCCCTAATCTTCCATACAGAGGCTGCCTTCCTTCACTTTTCTATCTCTACTAGGTGTGAAAATAATGCTGTGCTTAGAGTAGATGACTTTGTTTTTGGCCAGTGATTATTTTTCCTAACTCCCTGTTTCAGATTCCAAGGGATGCTGGGGTTCTGGAATCTGAAATGTACATCTGTGTTTGCTCTGTTCTTTTCCTAGTTTTATGAACTCTGGCGAGACCCTTTCTCAGGCTTCATTCTTTAAGAGTGTAGGCTCTCATAATTTCCAAAATGCTTTTGTTTCACAGTATGTAATTCACCGTGCTGCAACATACCCACTTTTTATGCTTGTACCAAAAAAGAAACTAGAAGTTAATATGAAAGTTTGTCTACTATAAGTATGCACAATTAGTCTCCAAGAACTGATTCAGGAGCTCATTAGGAAATAGTTATTGCTTTACCCTCAAACCTCTATGTCTCACAAAAATAACAGTTGCCGAGTTCTTAGGGAAAATAAATGTTGCCTTCTTTCATTTTGTCCCATTCTGATAGTCTAGTTAAAAAATTACGTATAATGAGGGGTGCCTGGGTGGCTCAGGTCCGGCTTCGGCTCAGGTCATGATTTCGTGGTTTGTGGGTTTGAGCCCCGCATTGGGTTCTGTGCTGACAGCAGAAAGCTCAGAGCCTGTTTCAGATTCTGTGTCTCCCTCTCTCTCTGCCCCTCTCCTGCTCATGCTCTGTCTCTCTCTCTCAACAATAAATAAATGTTAAAAAAAATTTAAAAAACTAGGTATAACGAGACCTTGAATTTTATACCTATTCATTTCTGCTGTTAAGATAATAAAAGTATGATTGAGCCTGTATTCCAATTAGCTAATAAATATGAAACCATGGTGAGGGTCACTAAAAACAGCCTATTGTTTTCTCGAATTTGCCACAATTTTATCTCAAGGAGACTTTCTAGAAAAGCATACTTACTTCAGTTGAAATTTGATAAGCACCTTTTAGTACAGTTACCAACTAGCATAATGAACTGATCCAAGTGCTCCCCCCACTTTTTTTTAATCCCTTGTTTTTATTGTCTGAGTCATGATTAATAATGGCCCAACCAACTTACAAGTGCTGCTTATTTCTGAAAACATTTCAACTTGCTAGAATAAATACATGAATAAATATCACCAGAAGTTTTCTATATGATTTCAAAATTATAACTAATCTTGTTCACAAAGGTAGCGGTGTCTCCATCTTGGAGTCTATGATAAAACCTCTTTCTCCCCAAATACATATTTATTTTAAAATTCAGAATGTAGGAAAACAAAGGTGAACAATACACACATGTGCACACACACACACACACACACACACGTGCATGTGTAAATCCACCTATAAGACATTACCCAGTGAGAGTTGCCATCAGTGTTTTGGTAGATATCCTGGTTGTCAGCTTTTCCTCCTCCTCCACCTCCTCCCTCCAGTCTTCTATTAACTTGGTTAAGCCTCTGCCATCCTAAAGCGTACCCTCTGGGGCTAAATGATTTCTTTGTTCACTTATAAGCCATCTTAAACTTTTCGGATCCTTGGTTTCCATGTCCAAGAGTAAGCATTTTAATCCTTAGTGCATGCCCTTGTGAAAGTACCATGTGCGTGAAGACCACAGCACCTGACAGGTTGATAGGCATCTAATAAATGATGGTGCCCCTGCCAGCGGGCAGCAGAAGAAGAAAGGCTGGAGCTAGTATAAGCTTCCAAATTTTAAGTACTGTTGAAAATATCCATGTGGTGTCAAAACAGAACTGCATGTGAGACTTTATTCCACAGCTTATTGTTAGTACTGGCAAGCTACTTAAAAAAGTAGTATTTTGGGGGCGCCTGGGTGGCTCAGTCGGTTGAGTGTCCGACATTGGCTCAGGTCATGATCTCAGAGTCTGTGAGTTCGAGCCCCGCAGTGGGCTCTGTGCTGATGGCTCAGAGCCTGGAGCCTGCTTCCGATTCTGTGTCTCCCTCTCTCTCTGCCCCTTCCCTGCTCATGCTGTGTCTCTCTCTGTCTCAAAAATAAATAAAAACATTAAGAAAAAAAAAGTAGTATTTTGGGGCCCTTGGGTGGCTCAGTTGGTTGAGCGTTCACTCTTGATTTTGGCTCCAACCCTTTGTTTCCTAATTCATGAAACAGGGAAATCAGGTCATGATCTCATGGTTTGTGAGTTCAAGCCCTGCCACGGAGCCTGCTTGGGATTCTCTTTCACTCTCTCTCTCTCTCTCTCTCAAAATAGACAAAATAAAAATAACAATCATAATAAAAAGTAAAAAGTAACAGGTAAAATTAATTAAAAAATAGTTTGTCACCTCTTGAACTTTCTTCCCTCAGTGAAGTTTTTCCTTTTTAATAGATGACAGCAGGATGAGTACATATTCATATCAAACATATTTACTATTTTTTATCTATTAGAGGAAAGTACTACTATATAAGGCACAAGCCACTCCTTTATGTACAGACTATTGCAGATGGAGGAAAAAATAATTGCAAAGAAATTTCCTGTTATGTGGGAATCAAAACACTCATGCGGTTACAAATTATTGACCAGTGCTTAGCTGGTTCTTTGTGGACTCGTACATTTTCAGCCTGGCCTATCTATGAAGGCAAGTCCACTTTCAAAAGAGTTCAAACAATGGAGGCCAAATGGTTTCAAGAAGAAAATTCCAAATATTAGAATAAAAATTTTAGTTTGTTGTCTGGTTATGTTAAAGAGATACAAAATGGCTTTGGTAACACACAGAGGCTGTGGGTCAGACAGGCTTAGATATGAATTCTGATTCAAGCAAATTTTATTTATTTATTTATTTATTTATTTATTTATTTATTTTTATTTTTTAATTATTTTTAATGTTTTATTTATTTATTTATTTTTTTA